AAAAAAAAAAAAAAAAAAAGGAAGTAGTCCTCTTTTATTTTTTATTATTTTATTTTATCTGTTGATTAGGGCCGGAGGAGAGTATTGTTGGGTTGGTTACCTACCTACGTTTTCCCTCCCACCCACCCCTTGCATGCATCCCGGTTCGGTACAGTGCCACGTCAGCAGCGCCTCGTCACGATGCCAGATCAGGAGTGCCACGTCACAGTGCCAGGTCACAATGCCACGTCAACAGTGCCACGTCACAGTGCCAAATCAGCAGTGCCTCGTCAGACAAAGTGCCACGTCAGCAGTGCCACGTCAGCAACATGACGGGCCTGCCAGGGCAACTGCCCAACGAGTCCATTGCCGCCTACAAGCAGCGTTGCCTGGCTCAGATCGAGGCTGAGGAACAACGCCAGCTGGCAGCCGAGGCTGCCCGCGTACAGGCTGAAGAGGCAGCAGCAGCATAGAAGCTGCGACTACAGGCCGATGCAGACGCAGACTCCCAGGCTCGCCGCAAGGAAGCCCAGGATCTGCTACAACGGCATGAAGCCACAAGCACCGACAGACTCAAGTTCTAGCACTTTGAATCAAACGGCGATGAGGCAACACCGGAAGAGAAGCACAAGGAGTTCCTCTCCAAGCTCGTGATGCGGTTGTTGTATGCTTGCGACTACCAACGGTCAGAGTTGGAGAGACAGTACCAGAACCTGACGCAGCAGCATCAGGAGTTGGCACAGCTCCGCCGCATGGTGCAGAGCCACGAGGATGCAACCCGGGCACTCAATGCCCGATTGCTGGACCTGGAACAGGCTGTACCAGGACCAACTGCTGGGGCTTCCAGCAGTGCACCCTCGAGCCGCCAACTGGAGGACCGCGTTGACCACGTAGTGGCAATGCTCGGCGACATCAGCACTTTCGTTGCGCCGAACACCACTATCAGCAGTCAGCTGCATACATTGAAGACCGAGGTCCAGCAGCTGCAGACGACAAACGCGGATGGCAACCCAAAGATGTATAAGATGCCAACCTTCAATCTGGAGAGGTTCGACGAGTACACGCAGCAGGATCCAGTCCTCTGGTGGGAAGCATTCACAACGCAACTCAGGATTCTGCTCGTAGCCAAGCATGCGTACATCGGCGCCCTGTTCCTGAACTCAAAGGGCGGATGCCAGACCTGGTTGAGCCACCTGGCAACCTCCCACGGCGTCGACGTACCAGACTTGAAGGACGTAATCACATGGGAGGAACTGACAAGGCTGTGGAAGAAGTGGTTCATCGTCGACGACGCGCCGACACTCGCCATCAACCGTTTGTTCACCATGTCACAGGGCAACACAGCAACACGGGACTGGCTCACGAAGTGGCATAAAATTGCGGTTGTGCCCAATCTGAACTTACCATTTGAGCATCTACGTCGTGAGTTCTACAACAGGTCCTGTGCTGCATTGAGCCAGGCTCTTGGTGATCGCGAGCAGTACTCAACCTTTGCTGAGATTATTGACAAAGCAAGGGAGATCATCAAGACCAACAGGTCAGCTGCACACGAGAAATCAACATCATGGCAGCTGACCTATGTGGAGAAGGTACGAACTGGTCTGCGACAGCAGCACTTCGTTGCAGTCCAGCAGGACAGTGGAGATAACCCAGCAGCCACTCCAGCATCAAGTGACGGAGATCAGGTGGCTGCTGTCCAACCGCGAAGCACCAACAAGTCCCGCAACAATGGGAAGGCGAAATCCGCATCGCAGGCGGAAATGGACAGCCAGGACAGTTTCCATGGGTCAAGTTTGGCTTGACCGAGGCGGAGTACAAGGTCCGCGGCCGCTACGGTAGCTGCTATTGGTGCAACAGCACCAAGCACAAGACCTCCCTGTGCCAAGATCAGGGCAAGGAGGATGTGCGACCCCGCCTCAGCTCGGGAAACTGAGCTCCGCGGAAGGTGAGGCGACTCCACCTTCTACTCCGCCAGATTCGGTCGCCTTGCTAGCGGCCTCCTGCACATCTGGGAAGGATGCGAATGTCGCAAGTCCTCGGTATACTTACGAGGATTATGCTGTCCACTTGGTTCCACCGCTGGACCAACCGCTCCACGCGCAACAGTCCACCGCATGCACGGTTTCATCACCATCGGCAACCGATTCGGCAGCTTCGCCGCAACCTATCGCCGGGGATTCGGCGTCATGGTCAAGACTTGAGGAGCTCCACCCGTTGACGTTCACGGACTTCCAGTGGATGCCCGTTCCCTCGTCCGGACGATTGCCGAAACCGCATTGCAACGTGCTTATGGCACAATTGCGGGACCACTTGCACACTGCAGTACCAGCTCCGTTGATGGACGCCGGAGTAGAGTTTGTCGACCTTCACGTTTACATCGCGAAGATCGACCGCGAGTTCAAGACGCAACGGTACGACGACATCGACGCACCATTGCTATACGTACGCATTCAGATCGGAGAGGCGACCTGCAGTGC